GGCGGCGGGCCGGAGGAGGAGGAGGAGAAGGAAGCCGGCGCTGCCGCGCTCCAGAGCAGCGGCGGCGTCGACCGGGGCAGCCGCTGCACACGACGCATGGGCTCACTAGCACCGGGTCGCTCTCGAGAGCATATGTCCGCCGCCGTGCTGCCGGGCGCCGAGTGGGCGAGTCCTCGGGTCCATGGTCTCATCATCTACAGTGGAGGCCAGTCCACAAGAAACCTTCCACAAGAAACCCAACCCTGAGACCCCAGGGCGTCAATGGATTCTTGGTGGGAACGTCACGCTTCCCATGGCAAAACCATGGAAACCCAAGAAACCCAGGGCACCCTGGAGGCGAGCAGGGTGTTTCTTGGCATGGGCCTCCACTGTAAGCCTCCATCCTCACTCCTGGTGATTTTGTAAAGAGGGGCCCGAGCCCCAAATCTCTTGGGGTTTGGCGCGTGCCTGGGTCTTCGGGTCGCGTGGCGCTTTCGCCCAAGAGGGCGTCCCGAGAACGGTGCAGGAGGGCCCCGCGTCGCCGAAAAATCGCTCCAAGCTCAAGATTGTCCCCTGACGGCCCAAGAGGCCTCCACCACGCACCGAAAGGCTTCCAAGAGGTCTCCCAAGAAGGCCCCAAGAGGTCAAAAATCTGTGATTTCCTCCGGTGTTCGAACGTTCTCGGCGTTCCCGCCTTTTCTGCTTCCCGACGCTCCGAGACGGCTCTGAAGGCCCTCAAGATCGCCCCAAGACGGCCTAGATGCCTCCAGGAAGGCGCCAAAACGGCCCAAGAGGGCCCCCAAGACGGCCCCTGGGGCGCTCAAGACGGCACAAGGGCCACAAGGACAGCTCCGAGAGGGGGCCCAGATGGGGGACCAGAACAGACATTTCTAGCCCTCGGCCCAGAGGGGCTCCTAGGAGGCCCCAAGAGGCCCCCAAGAGCCGCCATCAAGGAAAAACAACATGAAATAGAGAGAACCAACAAACCACAAAACCAGGCGCGAAGCGCAGGGGCAGGGGGAAAGAAGGTACAGTCGGACCCAAGCCAGAAGAGCATCCCTCGAGAACGCGACCCTCCGTCGGTCAAAAACGAGCAGAGCATCTAAGGGTACCCTCCCCAGGATGGACAAGATCATCCGGCAAACACGAATCACACGAAGTGGGGATACCAAAAACTACAGCTAGCGCTACTCCCCGGACCTCTCCCAAGGTGCGTTCTGAACGGAATTTAAAGGCGAATCCGGCGGTGGCGACGAGGGCCTCCCAAGAAACCCCCAAATGGGGAAAGCGAGTCAAGGGTAGCGGTATGGGTACCGTTTCCTCCTCTGACGAAGGTGCCCTCCCCGAACCGACCTCGATCTTATACCTCGACCCGACTGCCAAGCACCGAAGCAGGACACATTAGGTCGGGCATGTCCTCCTACAGGCGAGTTTTGGACGACACATACAAAAAGAGTGAAACAATACCCGGAAATAGTCCAGAATGGTCGAAAAATCGTCGCCAGACTATTTGTTTTACTACTTTTGAATATTCCTCTTCCTCCTCCTCCGAGGAGGAGGAGGCTGTGGAGGGACAGTGCGAGGCGGGGATTTATCCAGATCCACCGCCTGGGAAACGACGTCCCGGTGCCCCTGCGGGCGGTCGATGTGGATATATATGCCGGCCCCCGGGGGCCCGAACGTATCCATATCCACCGCCTGCGAGCTCCCCGAGAACGGATCCTCCAGGCGGTGGTGATGTAGAAGTTCCCGCCTCGGAGACAGGCCCTGCGTAAAGGAAGCACTGCGAAGCAGCGACGCGCTGACTCTTGGCGGCGCGCACAAGGGGGTAGGGGGAGGGGGGAAGGCTTCTTAGAAGGAGGCTGCTTCTTAGAAGGCGCCGGCCTTACATCTGCAAAGGAGGCCCGCGTCTTCTAAGAAGCAGGGGTGCTTCTAAGAGCGCGCGAGTGGCAGCAGGCCGAGAGGAGGAGGAGAAGGAGGAGGAAGGAAAGGGAAGGAAAGGAGGAGGAAGGTAGGGGAGGAGGGAAGGGGAAAGCTGAGGGAGGGGGGAGAGGAGGGAGGAGGTGGGGGAAGGGGGGGGGAGGGAGGGAGGAGAGGAGGAGGAGGAGGGAGGAGGGGGGGAGGAGGGGGAGGGGGGAGGGAGGAGGGGGAAGTGTTGGGAGGGAGTGGGAGGGTGGGGGAGTAGGGGGGGGGGGTGGAGGGACCAGGGGGGTGGAGGAAGGGGGAGATGGGGGGGGGAGGAGATTGTTGGATCCGGTTGAGGTTCTGATGGCTTCGGTGTTTCTGTTCCGTTTTTCTCCTGTCGCCCTTTCGCCGTGTCTTTTCTTTTTCGTTCTTTTGCAAACCATACACGATGCCACCTTAGTGCAGGGGTCGTCGAAGGCAAAGGGGTCGGAAAATCGGCCGCTTCGCCTACACAACGCAAGCAATCGGCGATGCATCGGGACGTCGACGTGAAAATCCGGTTCCGCATCGAGCCGCATCAGCGATGCATCGGCGATGCGGCGCGATCCCCCGACCCCATCTACTCCGACCCCCTAAACTCGAGGCGTGCCTGCTCCCGCCGCCTCGCGAGTGAAGACCGCTTCGGGCTCGACCAACTGGACACCACGCCAAGCTCTGCTCGTTCGTGCCCGGGGAGGCGTGGTCGGGGTGAGGAGAAGGAGACGGCGGATAACAGCAAACTGGTCGTCCTCGAGCTGGTCAGCCTCAACATCCCAATCATAAGCTTGACTACGCTCTCCGGGTGAGGCGCAAACATAACCGGTACGTACTTAGAATAATCCACAACAGCACTACCAGCATTATCGCATCCTCATGTTCAAACTGATCCTGGTCATCCTGTGCAGCAGCATCATCATCGTCTTCGCCACTATCGGAATTGTCATCATCATCATCATCAGCAGCAGCATCGGCATCATCATCATCATCATCATCATCATCATCATCATCATCATCATCATCATCATCATCAACAACATCGTCTTTATCATCATCAACAAAATCGTCTCCACCATCATCATCATCATCATCATCATCATCATCACCATCACCATCACCATCATCATCATCATCATCATCATCCTCATCATCATCGGCAGCATCATCAACGTCATCACCATATTGTAATCATCATCAACAGCATCATCATCATAATCATCATCAGCATTATCATCAACATCATCATAATCATAATCATCATCACCATCATCAGCAGCATGAGCATCATCGTCATCAGCAGCATCACCTTTATCATCGTCATCATCATCAGCAGCATCAGCATCAACATCAGTATCAACATCAGCTTCAGCATCATCATCATCATCATCATCATCATCACCGTCATCAGTATCATCATCATCATCGCCATCATCATCGTCATCGCCATCAACATTATCAATATCATCATAGTCATATTCATCATCACCACCACCAAGGCGATCATCATCATCAGCATAATCATCACCACCACCAACGCCACCACCACCATCATCGACATCATCACCATCTCCACCATCATCATCATCATCATCATCAGCATCATCAGCAGCAGCAGCATTATCATCATCAGAAGCATCATCATCTCATTCTTCCTAATCATGTTCGTACTCATCTTCATCTTCACCTTTATCATAACCATCGTCATCCTCGTGATCGTCTTCATCATTGTCCGCGTCCTGCGCATATTCCACCTGCTCCTCATCATGATCAGCCATTTCCTACCGCATCATCATAATCACTATTAGTATCGAGCGTCGTGAATCGTACTGTCAACGTTGTACTGCTCCCATTTGGTTATTTTCCGATGTCCTGTCGTGTGCGTGCCACGTTCCCTTTCCACGCCGTACCCATGATCACAATAACGAAGTCTGGCAGCTCCGATCCTCGTCATCTTTCTCACACTCGTCCTCGCCTTCCTCGCTTTTACTCTCACCAGCGACCACGCAACTCAAACAAGCAAGCGTGAGGCCCCTGGGCCTGCTCCGTGAGACGTGCGGCCGGTGATGCGTGAGACGGACGAGGCGAAGAGAAGCGCAGACAAGAGAGGAGGAGGACGCGGAGCGGAGACGAGGCAGGAGGAGCCGATGGGGGAAAATCCGAAGTTCTCTCCTCCTTTCCCTCCTCGTACTCGCCTCGAGGGGCAACCACAGGGCGGGGGGGACTGGCTCAGAGGGGGGGAGCATCGAACTGGAATCGGCGACGCACCGCCGATCGATTGGCGACAGGCCTTGTTAGGGCAAGGTGCAGGTGGTACTTAGAAGGGCTGGCGGTCGGCTTCAACCTAGAAATCACAAGCCAGAGGCTCAGGAAAAATAATCGTTTCTTGTATTCCCCAATCCGTTTCATCCACTCCGCCACCAATCCCATCCTCTCTCCTCCATCTCCTCCACATTCCTCCTCGTTCAACGCTGATCTGTTTTCTCCAATCCCCTGACCTCCAACACGCTTGGTCTCCTTGGCCTACCTCATCGAGACATATCGGGTGAGCTCACGTCCTATCTATCCGCATGACCTTGCGTGTTGGAGGTCAGGGCATTGGCACCCCACAGTGTGCGTCAACTCGGCATGCACGCGCGTGCACCAGTACGTCTACTACAAGTACACGCACACGTGTACAACTGCACAGTACGCACGTATACTTGCAGGGGTACACACGCCAGCATGGATGCGCATTGTTTGTCTAAGCGTACCGTATGTATACTTACGCACTTGCATACACATGGCGCCCGCAACTACACAAGCATCGAATGTCAAACCGTTCGTGCCCCCTCACCTTGTCGGAAGCTTTGGGAGGGGAGTCTCGGGCTAAGTTGCAGGCGGGCCCCAAATGGTTCCCGAAAGGCCTTCCGAAGAGGAATCAGAAATCTTTCTCCCGTGGGGCCCCGTCTGTTCATGTTATTTGTTTGGCATTTGTCAGGCCCCCGCAGCGCCGAGCCCCCCGCTCGGCGAGGTTCTCGAGAATCTCAGGTCGCCTTGCGACCCGCCCGGTTGGCAGCCATCTGCCGCCAACCACCTCACCATCACTTCTGCTTGTTCTGAAGCAGCTTCTTGCGGGGCCCGCCGATGCCCTTCTGAGCGGGCGCCGTCACCGAGGCGGAGCTCGCCGCCTGGATGCTGGATGACTCGACTGTCTCAGCGGCGTCGGACATCTTCTCGTCCTGGCCCCGATGAGGGGCAAACACGTCGGAGGCCGCGAGCTTCTTCTTCAGGTTCGGCGGGAAGTCCTCGAACTTGCACCGCAACGTTCCAGAGATGTACTTGTTCATCTCGGCCAGTTTCTCGTCAACAGCCTTTATCTCCTGGGCGTCCTTGGCCGTCCCCAGGGCGATCACGTGGGGGAGCACGCAGCAGCAAGACAAGATCTTCGCTGCTTGGTTGTACATCTCCTCGTACTCCTGCACCTTGTCGTTGAACGTCTTGATCTTGGTCGCTTGCTCATCGGCCCATCCCTTCATGCGGTGTGGCAGCTGCGAGCACATGTTCTTCCAAGTATGTAGTTGGGTCGCTGCTGAGTTCACCGCTTGGGCGCCCTTGTCGACTTCTTTCGGTTGCGTGGTCTTCGTGGGGTCGGGGTCGCACTTCTCGACTGCTTTGTAGATGCCTGTGTACGCGTGCACGAACTGTTCCATCAAGTCGAGCTGGTTAACCTTGTCAACCATCCTGTTGAATGTCGCATCCCAGTCGGCCCGAAGCTGTCCGATATTGCGTTGGAAGTTCGGCCGAACCGAAACTAGCGTTGGGTGGAGCTTCTCAGCTTCGGTTGCAAGCTGCATCGTGATGGTGAGGTCAAGCAGGCCGCCTGGAGACTTGCCGTTTGCCCGCTTCGCAGTCGCCTCCTCCAAACGCTCGAACGCAGCCGGCGCCTTCAGGACAGGGAGGGCCCCCTCAGGCAGGTCGCTCGAGAACTGGCCGAACAGGTCAGCCAACTTCTTGTGCACCCCGCGGCCGACGACACCCGAAATAACAGACGCGATGCATGCGCCGACATCGTACGTGTCCATAGTGTACAGCAGCTTCACGTGTGCAGAGATCTCTGCCGAACTTGTTCCAATCAAGACCCAGTGGCGCGCGGTCTCGGCTGCCGCGCCATGAGGGCATGGGAGGTTGGCGCAAGCACTCTTTGGATCGAAACCCTTGGTCTTAGTCCACGCCTTGACAAAGAAGCCAACCGCGGCGTCAAAGTCAAATGACTCCACTGCGTCTTTGCCGTGGTGGATGTCGGCTGCGATGGCGACCGCAGAGGCGCAAGCAATCCGAAGTTCTTGAACACCGTCGGGCAACTTGAACGGAACCAGCCTCGCGAAGAACTCCGTCAGGAAAGCTAGGAACTCCAGTGGACTCAAAGCTTCATCTGGGACATCAGGCTGCCTGTCAGAAAGACCGTGCGTGTATAGATCCGAGGCCTCGCGATTGCTGAATACATATTCGAAGAGAACGGAGAGCTGCTGCTGCTCGCAGAAGGCCATCACGTCGTTGCCGAGATGAAGCATCAATCTCGCGAGGTCCCTCATCAGGCCAACATGTTTGTCCCTCATGTGCTCAACGTCAGCGCCGTCCATGCCGACCACGCTCACATCCTCGACGCGCGTCGCGCAGTCGCCGAACACGGCCCCGAGCTGCTTGATCGTCGCCACAGTGTCGGCGTCTTCCATGGCGTCGAACAGCACGGAATAGGAAGCCTCAGGGCCTTCCTTCAGCGCCCCCTCAAAAGCCTCAACCAGCTGCTGCACCTTCTCGAAAGCCTCGCCCTGGCACATGCTTGTGACGCGGGAGAACTCGCTGTGAATGTGCACCATCTTATCCCAAGCCGTCTTGCCGTGTTGCACTTGCACGCCGCAGATCGACCTGGTTTGAGCTTTCAGGCGAGGGCTTACCTTGGCAGCGTTCTCCACGACATTGATGAAGATCTGGCGAATCGACCTCTCGATGCTGTCAACGTCACCCGACTCATGCTTCAAAGAAGCGGCCAGCATGAGGCCGATCGAGCGGACAGTGTACATGTCGACCCACGCTTGAGGATACCAACCATTCTCCAGCATTTTGAAAGGGGCCTTGACGTCTACCGTCTCGATGGGGGCAGTCGTCATGCATGGGGGGTGCGCGTCCAGGAGTTGCATGACGCCGACGATCAGCTTCACGTCGCTGGACTTCAACAGCTTGTCTGCCAAGGATAAGGTGGCGTTCTTCTGGCCTTCGGAGACTGCTTGGGCCAAACCCTCGGGTCCTCCAGGGGCGAACAACAGCCGGCCACAACAACTCAACTTTGAAAGACATTCGCCCGCTTCTTGGGGCCGATGGGGGCCCAGGGGGCGGCACCACCAGAAATCATGGCAATCGTTTCTTCGGTCCTCCGAGGCTCCTGAATCATGATCTCCCCTCCTCTTCCTTCACTCCTTCCTATCCTCTCGGCCCTCTGTCTCCTCCTTCCTCCTTCCCGCGAGTCCTCGGCCGCCCTGTCGAAGACGCCCCAGGATGCCGAAGCTGGTCTGGAGCGGGCCGTCGCGCGCGTCGAAGGCGTTCAAGGCCACTGCGAACGCGTGCGCGCACTTGTCGCCGACGTCCCTGTCGAATATGTTCTCAATGAGGTAGTGTATGTTCGTCGTCAGCAGGGACATCATCGCTGGCCTCGTGGACATGAGCATGTGGGCCTTATCGTCCAGAGACGGCTCGAGTACGACGCTGGGGAAGTCCTCCTTGCATCTATCGAAGAAGCGCTGCCTGCCCTCCAGGGTCTCCTTCACCTCGAACAAGCTATCAGAGATCTCAGCCGCCTCTGGGCTGCTAGAGATCTCCCCTGCTTTTCGGGCTAGCGAGCCAGTTCGAATCATCAAGGCCATGAAATCACGGTGTCGGCTGGCCGACTCCATGTGCTTCTCCCAAGAATGACTTTGCTCGAGCTTATCTCGCATGGCCTTGGCATTCTCGATCGCCAGCTGGGGCCCGCTGCGACGGGGTCTCCTTGGCTTGGTCGCGTCGGAGGCCTTGGAGATTCCATCGCCGCCGTCGCGCGAAGCCTCGGCAACTGGCGTGACTACGGCGCGCTGGCGCCCCACGTCGAAGGAAGCTGGGCCGCTCGAGGCTCTGCTCTGCCTGCCGACGCAGCAGATGGAGTCCTGCGGCCCCAGCCCATCATCACCCTCACGAAGGGTATCGGATACCGCCTGCACCAGTGGGCCGCCAAAACGCAAGCCCGAGCCCGTGGGGGGGCGTGCTCACCTCCTCCTCCTCGGGCGCACCGTCGTCCATGACCACGCCATCTGCGCGAGGTGCATGCGCGCCACACCTGCACCTGACTTCGCCTCCGAGGTGCGCGGCGTGCTCGTCCGCCATCCTGCGCGCCTCTGCGGCCACCTCGCCCTCGGTGTCGTAGGTCGTCTTCTCGCTCTTGGAAGCGCAGTGGCCCGCGCCCCGCCTGAAGCGCTTCACGCCAGGAGCGTGGTCGAGTATCTCCACGCCCTTCGTGACGCCATCGTCTGGGTCCACGACCACGGTGAACCCGAGGACGGCCTGGATGTGGTGGATGAGCAACTCTTCATCTGTGAACTTCAAGTTGCACCTGCGCGCAAAGACGGTCAGAGGTTCGAAACGACCCTCCACGAACCCTACGTTGAAGTCCGAACGTTTTTTCTCCACCTCAGTCTTTTCAGTGGCGTATGTGCCCGTGCCTTTGAACTTGTTCCCTCCAGGGACGACATCATGCCTGCGAGCGTTAAATGCCTCCTCAACTTCATCATCTGCTTGCCGTTCCTGCATCAACGTGTCCAAGTCTTTTTTGAAATACTTTCTGCGCGTGTCGAAGCACTTCGCGCACTCGGTGCCAGATGGGTACACCACGCCCTTGGAGTTCGTGGCAGAGTGGGTCCACAGTAAAAAGAACGGTGCACCAGGAGGGGCGTCACGGTCCAAATCGCGCGTAGTCTGCGAGCAGCTCCTGCAACGTTTGGCTTCGCATCTCCCCCACCTCGACTCCTTCCGCTTAGGGGCCTTAGGAGTCTTCACGTGAGATTTAACCACTACACCCTTGTCGCACGTGCTGCCCTTCCCCATGTCGTAGCGCCAAGCCGCAGAGAAGCGCTGAGTCGAATCAGACAAGTCAAACTCGAACTCTGCGTGGCGAGTCTCTGGGCTCGCGCCTCAGAGAGAGGCGAATAAAGCTGGGGCCCAAATGGCGAGCGGAGGAGGATCAGGAAGACCAGGGAAAGATGGTATCACGTCTTGGGGGACTCCAGCGGCCCCGTCTCGGGCTTGACTTATGGGGCGTTATAGTGGCCCTTGGGGGCCGTCTCTTGGGGGAGTCCAATGGTCCCGTCATGGGGGGGCCCAGTGGTCACATGTTGGAGGCGTCGTGGGCCGTCTCGGAGCGATCTTGGACATGTGCCAACGCTTGCAGCTTAATTATGTGCAGACGTCCAAACCACGCCGCCTTGGGAGGGGGGGGGGGGGGGGGGGGGGGGGGGGGGGGGGGTGGGTGGGGGGGGGGGTGGGGGAGGGGGGGGGGGGGGTTCTGTCAAGGGGCATGTCCGTCGGCTTCTGCGGTCGAGGCGCCGCGCCAAATCGGACCACATTCGATGCAGGTTTTCGGCTCTGGGGATCATCTCCGCCCACGCGCGCACGCGCATGGGCGTCGGCGCGCTGTCTGGACAGAGAATCCTTTTCGAGCTCAAATCCTGAATCAAATGGCGTATGATTTGTGCGGTTCCGCATCAGAGACTGTCACAGGTAGCAAACGGAAATGAGTGGAGGAGCAGCGAAGACGCACGTCGGCCTGTGGGCGCCTCGGGCTTGCCGCGCCAGCCTCCCCGATGGCCGAGGTCCGACGCCCGACGGCCAGGGGCTGGGGGCAGGGAGCGTGGGGCACGGAAGATGGGCGCCCTCAAGGGTGGTACGAACCATGAGCTTCCTGGAGGGGGTTACCCCTGATCAAGTCTGACCAACTCCTTGATCAAGCCTGATCAAGTCTGATCAAAATCTTGATCAGGGCGTAGGGCGACGATCCTCGATAGGGGTGGCCCTGATCAAAAACCTCGATCGAAACCTTGATCAGGGTAGGGTTGGCAAACCCAGGTCTGATCAAGCCGCCCCTGGTCAGTTAGCCAGGTCTGATCAAGCACTCCTTGGACCATTAGGGTGAGGGGCTTAGGGCGGGGCGGCCTGTTCTGGGGGTCGTGCAACCTCTAGCGCAGACGGGGTGCGTTTGTGAGTGCGTTGGCATGTTCCCCCCCCCTGGCCCCCTGGCCATCCTCAGTCCTCACCCTACCCCTACCCTTCCACCTTGCGCCCGCCCCTCCATGATCCATCTTGCGCCCGCCCCTCCATGATGCTGTCATATCAGCGCTTGGAGCGGTCAACCTCCCGAGCCTGCAGCGGCGCCGCCAAGGGTCCTAAGCACGAGCATGAGGCCCTCGACCGCTCTCGGATCGTCGGCCGCATCGAGCAGCCTTTGCGTTCGAATTCGATCCGAATCACGATTGCCGAGAGGGGTTCCTCTCACGCATACCGGATGCAACCACGCCTCGTCCTAATGGACTTGCCAACTTTGAATCTGTACCTAAGCCTAAAGCGACCTAACTCCAGATTGCCCTTGCAGACACCACACTTAGCGCGACCTGTCACTGCACTGTCGTACCCGCGAACACCCTCTGGAAAATTCGCACCAGGAGCTGGCGCAGGGATGAACACTCCAATGATTGGCGGCAGAACGGCTGGATCTGGGGCTGCTGGAAGCGCTGGGGCGGCTGGGCCCTTGCCCTCGACGATAGAGACCGTCCGTTCAGAGAAAAGGGGGGGGGGGAAACGGAAGGAAGGAGAGGAGGTAGGAAGGAAGGAGGGATGTGACGAAGCCCAAGGGAGCATGAGCAAGGGGGCCCAGAGGAACTCTTAGCCCAACCATCGACAACCAAACATTGTGCACGCCTGTGTTTCCCTTTAAGTAGCGCTCGCATCGCGAAAGAAAGGCCGCAGCAACAGTCATCTGGACTCCAAGGTTCGCGTTTCAAACCAGTGTCAAAACTAGCATCCGCTTCCGATTTCAACGTAAGCGATCATCTTTGATTCGGGAATTTCTATGGGCGCCCCCTTCCCCCAACAAAAAAAAAACCTTGGGGGGCATGCAAACGCTGAGGGCGGCCCCCGAACGCTAGCCTGGCAATTATCCGAAAAACCTCGTCGGGGCCGTCGGGCTCCGACTGCGAGTCGCCGTCCAAGGATGCGGCCTCCTCCCCCCTAGCATCCAACTCCATCGCCTCATCGGTGGTGTTGTCGCCGACGTCGGCTTTGGGGCCAGCCACAGCTAAGTCGGGCTTCGGGGGGGCGATCTTGATCCCGAAAGGCAACGCGAACTTCTTCGGCTGATGTTTCTTGGCCAGGGCAGGGCCGACGTCGCGTTCCAAGCTGAGTTCCTCAGACCAGTCTGGCTCGAAAGCAACGCAAAACTCACGCCCGCCTTGGGCCGTCATTTTTTGGCGAGACATTGTGATGGACGTTGGGCCGCAGAGAATATCATTGCCTCGATACCCAGCTGCGCCACGAAGTGCAACGACCAGTTTACGAAGGAGAGCGTGGGAGGTACATATATCAAACGATGGCAGGGCACGCCCATCCAAGACATTCGCACGCATCAATATGCCCAGATCCCCTTTCACCACAACGTCCCCGAGGAAATACGGCATGTCCAACCTGACCTCCCCGTCGTCATTGGGGAGCGTGGGCCCGAAAACCACGAGAAGGGGATAAGGTGTTTTATCGACGTGATGGGCCTTGACGGCCCTCCAGATGTTCCTGGTCCAGATCCTGCTGGCCTCGACGATCGGGCCATCGTCGCAAAGGCCGCCGTTGCGGAAGGCGCACGGCGAAAACGGAGTCATGCCCCCCCCCCCCCCCTGGATTTTCTTTTGCCACTGCTGAGAATGCGAACAAGCGGGCTGCGTCGGCCGCCACAGTAGCCTCGGAGCCATCGACGACGCAGTCCGAATTGAGTCCTGCCTCGAATCCTTGGAGCCCAGCGCCACCTCTAGGACCCGAAGCTGAGACAAATCAATGGGCACCGCGGGACCTAAACCACAAAGAGAACTACACGAGGGGGCGAGAGAGGAAAGTGGAGCCTGAACTTCCAGGGGCGGGTCGGGCCTCGCTGCAAAGCGCGCGAGTTCCCTGCAGGACAACGGCGGTTGCACCGCGAGCATCCGTTGTTCAAGCGCGGTGCCTACCCATAGGACCCCAACATTGCCGAACGAGTCCAAGGGGTAAAACGTTTTTTTTTCAAAACCAGATTTAACACATCTGCGTCGCGTCATCGCAGCGTTTGCCGTCTCGGTGTCGCGACGACGGCGCGCGGTCTACAATGGCGCCTAGACTCCACGCTTCAACCCGAGGATGGCACTTGCACAACGGATGACGCTCGATTTGCTTCTCTAACCCCTGCCCCCCTCCCTTACCCCTCCATCTACCATAACGAACCACTACTCTTGAGTGGGGAGGGCCTCGTAGGGGCCTCGACCTTGCAACGAATTTCAAAAATCCTGCAAGCCTGACCAAATGGGGTGGGACCTCATCGCGTCGAACGCGTTGCTGATCGCCCTGCGCTTCGCCGCGCGAAGCATGCCCCTGTGCAAGCCAGGTGGCTCGCGCGTGATCTTGCCGAAGTCTGGGTTGTTCATCTCGCCGATGGCCCGGTTCTTGCCGTCGGCACGATCATAGTACTGCTGTCGGTCGCCAGCGGGCAAGGCTGCCCAAGCTGCATCGGTTGCTGCCCTAAGAAAAAAAAGTCAAAAGAATTAAAAAAAACGAAGAGATCAACAGAGAACGGTAAGTGCCAAAAAAAGAATGCGAGAATAGAAAAAACTACATATGGGTTGATAACAAAAATAATTCGTAGACTGAAATCCCTGGGCGTAAAAGGATTACGACAAATAAATCGGAACTAAAAGGAAACAGGTGTAGAAAAGATAAAAAAAACTAACTAAAAACTTAAACTTGGTAAATAACAGTAAAAGAATAAGAAAAACAAAAAAACACATCAAGCAAATTAAACGGAAATAAAGCAGATAAAAATTACATAAGGGGGAAGGCTTCCTCTGAAAGAAATGCCGTGCCCATGGTGATCACGAAAATGTTCCGAAACAAACTCGCCGTAACCCCGAACGCGCTGCCGTCGCTCATTGCCCATCATCCCAACTGCAAACTGTTTCTTGCGCCCCCGACCTTCCGAAATCGATTCTCTTCTGTCTCTGTGACGGTTCACTGAAACAGCAGAAAGGTTATGAGAAAAAGCTTTCCTCGTGGTCTTGTCAGGGAGCACCTTCTGCAAGACCCTTTCCCGACGGCGTTCCCAGCTCCTGCGGACTGACTTGACGTAGGTGCTCATGCTCAAGTTCTGAGGCGTGAGGGCCCGACCTTGCTGTTTCCCCCCCATCGCGCCCCTCGCAGTCAAGCCCAGGAGATGCTTCCGTTCGACTTTTAACGATGACAGCGGCATCAGAGCGACCATCTGGCGAAGTAGCCTGAAAGCTGCCATCTGAGTGTCCTCATTCAACAATCTCCCAATCCAGATGTTAGTAGAGGCAGGGTCGTAACATTTTGAACATTGAGCTGAATCTCTCAAACGTTGGACCTTATCAAATACAACTGGCGGTTCGAAGTCGCACACCAAGGACAACAACTCAAACTTCGGCTGCTCAACGAACGGGAACACGAGGCGCTTCCAAGCGTCGCACATCGTGCAAATCATTGCGAGGCAACTGGAGCGCATCTCATCCGAGGTCATCTCAACGCCACCCCAATCCCTGTGTTCCGTATTCACCAAGTACACAGATATCTCAGACAGTAGTTGTTTCCCACGC